TATGTATTGCGAAACTCCCACCTATTCTCCAAAGTTGTAGAAGATTCTCGAGAGTAAGAATTCAACAACATGTGTGTATGTAAACTCTTGTGTTAGCACCAGTATTGATACATAAAACTGAAATTTCTAGAAAACCTCCACACGCCTATAAATATAACTAACGTGATGTGCCAAAAGAGAGAATATCTATTATTAGTTTGCTATAGTTAGTGTGCTATAAACTTTGGAAAATGTAACTGTGATTATTATAACGCTCATTAATCGGAAACTTCAGATATTTTATTTACAAAAAATATAGAATATTACAACTCATTTAACTTCAGTGGATTTTCATCTGACATCAGTATTTTTACGAAAACATTACATAATGTAATGGTGGAAAACCCGATGTGTGTGTGTGGCTGATAAATAACAAAGGACAAAGCTAGCTACCTTCCCGTTAAGTGAATTATACCTACGTCAACTCCTAATCAACTCGCTCGTCGTGAACCCTTGATAAGATATTGAAGAAGTTCCACACTAAAAGGAAGACTTTATATTGCTTGTAAGTTTGTGAAACTGTTAACAAATCATTGTTTATAATAACTATTTATAATAACTGTTATTGTAAATTGTATTGTTGCGTGTATATTGAAATGTATTTGTGTTAAAAAAGAAAACTGTATGTATCAATCTTGTTGGCAAATATCATAAACTGACTATATATTGGCTTTTAATAAACTACTAAATTTAAAGTATCATTTAGCTCAGTTTCAGACCACTCGAAATTCTAATGCATAACAGTTGTCATATGTACACTTGAAATTTGAGGATGGTACGAAATAGAAACTACTGAAAAACTTCAATGAAAATATGATGCTCAGATAGCACATCCTGTCCCAAGGAAAATACTACATCATTCAATTAAAAAAATTTTAGAAAATAAAATTTTTGTCAGTCTTCCATCCTTTTTTAAACCAAATACTTCAAAGTTTAATTTTATTCAATAAAAAGTTTTATTTAATTTTATACATAAAAATTTTCAAAGTCACAAATTTTATGAATATAGTAGTGTTTGTGAATTTCCTGAATGTTATCTAAGCATAACATGGCACTAATAACCCTCTAGGATGAATTCTGAAATAGTTTTTAATAAATAGTGCTAATTTGAAACTTATAACTTAATTACAAGTGTAGTTTTATTGATTTCAGCCAGGGTGTGATGTATGAAAGTTTCACAAGAATGTAAGACATCAATCAGTAAATTAAAATCTACACCAAAGCTACACATTTTTAACTGTTTAAAAACGAAATATCACAATGAAATCCTTTTAAGTTTCCAAACATCAATCAGTAAACTAAAATCTACACCAAAGTTTTGTATTTTTAATTGTTTAAAAACGAAAATATCACAAAGAAATCTTTTTGAATTTCGAAAGCTATGAATTCATAAAAATGTGACATGTGTAAATAAGATACTTCATGTGCAGAAGCTAAATAATCTGTTCAACATAAAATGGAGTTTATTACTATACATTTCTATTAATGTAAGTGAAATAACCTGTCTCTAGAATGTATCTCTAATAGCTCAATATTTTGCTATTAAAGTTTTGTCAGGAGCTATTGATAACCTCAAGTTCACTAACACAGTTTTAATTAACATACATAGTCTGATGTTATTTTTTCACGTCTTTAAAAGACTAAGTAAGGTTTTCAGAAGTTGTAATCATAATAATATTTAACACTGCATAATTTATTATTTTTGTGGGAGAATAGAAGGGTTATTTTAGAACTATTTTATTGCTGTTTACTTATTTGATGGATGAAAAAAAAAGTGATTACTATTTCCAAGCCTAAAACTACATCATATCTACAAAGAATATTATCATAATGTACATATTTTGATTGAATCACAGCACTGTTTTTATTTTTAGAATTTTTTCTTTTTTTTTTACTAGGATCACAAATTTTCTTTCAGCACTTTAATTCATTTAGTGACTATAATTTCTGAACTAAAGGTCAGAGTAGTGGCAACTTTGAGATTCCAGAAGAGTTTTCCATTAAATGGAATGTTTCAAAACATTATCAATCTTATAAACTCACCAATTTTGAGCAACTGTTCCACACACTGTGGGGTCAACTTATTGATATTAAATGACCAAGACGTTGATCCTGTTCCAGTACAGACAGTTAAGCCAGAACTTTTAATCTTGACTTTGGGTGACCCATCAACAGATAACTCATAATAGGATACCCTGTTAAAAAGGTAGATAAACTTGTATAAAGTTATGTGAAAAAAAAACACATCCATAACATGTAAGCATTGTTTTGTGTACCAATACTGGAGCTTAGTTTATGCTAGCTACAAGTATATCAGTGATCATAAATTAATAAAAAATACTCAACTTTAAACAGAATAAAGATTTATGTTCACATTATTTGCTGACATCCTGAGTCAGTCTTTTAGGCACTAGAAACATATAAACATGTCTTTGCACCATCAACTCAACCTAATAGTTTCATTGCAGTACAACTACTCCTTAAAACATTACCAAAATTTCATACTAGAACTTCTGACCTGAAGTTTTCAATTTTCAGATTTCCAGGCTGCTATCATAGCTTTACCTTGGAACAATTATAAAGCTTTTCAAAATATATTTTAATGTAATTTTCTGTACCTATTCTGAAAGGTTAGCTCCTTCTCTGTTTTGTGTCGTAACACATAAAACTACTATCTATGCAGTTTGTGGTGTTTTTGACTCCTAGACTTGGATTTGAAGCATCTTATAAATGCATAGCTTGTGTTCTTTATGGCCAGTTACTCTCACTTCACAAGAGCATTCATACTTTTTAAGTGATAATTAACAGAACTGCTGAATTTACTCCAATCAACAAAATTTGTTGATCAGTGTAAGCATAAGACTTCAACAAAAACTTTAACCTGTACAACTCTGTTTTTCAACTTTTTTTTTTGCACTCTCATTCCCAGTACAGGAAATTTAGTTTTGAAAAAATGTACTAACTTGTTGATAAAAAGCATTGCAGTATCATATACAAAACACCAGTATGTTCCACTTTGTGTGTAGCATATGATATGAATATGCAGGATTGTGGATTTCATGCATAATATTACTAAACTTAGTCTTAAAAGTTTTTTTTTTCTCAGGGATATGAACATGCAGTATGATATCATTTGTATACATGCTTAGGTAACATCTTTTGTTTACAAGTTTCTGAAGCTTGAAACCAAAACTATGAAAAACAAACAATTCTAACAAATACCACACTTTCCGCAATAAATATTACCATCAAAATTTAACAGTTAAATGATATAATTAGTGTTTAGTAAAATACATAATGTACAAATGTTTAAACCTTCAAAAACAGGTTATTACAAATTCCCTTGTGATAAACATCAACATTTTTGGTTCACTATAAACTACTGATGCAAGGTTATCAACTTGAGAGAAACTTTCCTGGTTTCTATTGCTCTTTCTTAGTATTTTTAAAAATTGTTACCTAGAAGAAAGAGATTCACCAATAAACACTTCATTCAAGGCCATAACAGGAAGTTCATGAACAAAATTGGAGCATCCATCAGGTGTGAAAACCGATCCTTTTTGACAGTTATGCTGCTCTTGGTAACAGTCTATGAACCTGTATTCTGGATACTGAAGTTGTTGGTTATGAAGTTCTACAGGGGGTGTATAGGCCTGTTCTCCTTTTAAGGTCACCCTAATCCGTTGCCTCTGAGTCCACCTGATCAAATACCACAGAGTTAAAAGGTGTGTTACAAATCACCTAAATTTGAGCTTCCACAAATTTAGAAAGTTTATAAGAATTTCTTCAAAACATAACTAAGATCACTAAATTATACTGTAATAAATATTTTGAACTAGAAGTCTTCTTTCCATGCTAAATAAGTACATTCAAAAGCTCAAGAATTACTGATTGTTAGATATACAGAACTGTTTCAGTTTAAGATGATGTGAGTGTTATAATTTAGATAATTTGTGATTTTAAAGTGAAATTATCATAGTCTATATTGTAATAACACAGCAAAAAAAGAATAATTAGGTCTTGTCAAACTGTGTTGTAAAGTAATTGAACCAGCCTGTGTGGACTTTTAACAAAAAAAAAAGAGAATTATTTAAAGCTCTGAATACAACTGTGATAATGAACAGTGTAATAAACATTCATACATATATTTCACTTGTTTTAATATATTATTTTAAAACAAGTGGACTATGTACTGTTTGTTTGTTGTTTAAATTTATCGCCAAAAAAGACACCTACTGTAAAGAATTCTGCCCATATATAAAACTTGACTGATGTATAATGAATAATGTATAATCTTTACACAAAATACTAAGAATCATTATACTAATTATTAAAATTGATCTATAAATAAGATTCATTTGTAGCAGCTGGTTCATTTTAATTTTTTTTGTATTTGTACCACATTAACCTTCTTGTAATAACTTAAAATATGGTAAGCCAGTTTGAAGAAAAATCATACTACTCAATACTTAAGATACTTTTGTTGGGAAATAATGAAACAACCAGTTCTTGCACATGTGTGTGTGTGTGTGTGTGTGTATTTAAAATTTTAAGTACGAGATGTCAACTTTGAAAAATATATAATAATTTTTTAGTTAAAAGATTTGCACTTTCATATAGATAGAAGCACTATGATGTACTTTACTTGAAGATGACCTAAGGTTCTTCAATTGTTATTAATATGACATAGATTCCTTAAAATAGTAAAATATTTTTATATTTTTATTGCAAGTACAAAATACATCTATTCTATGCTTTAGAAGGTTTGACTTAAAAGGACTACATTGGCTACTATGTCATATATAAAATAACAATATTAACTAACTGCTATTTAAAAGTGTCTTACTTACTTGAACTGGCCATTCATGAGTTTTTCCACAGCTTCTGGTATACAATCAGTAAACTTCACTGGAAGACACAGGTGTCCTACAGAACTGAAAGACGATAATAATAAATAATAAAAATGTTTCATAATCTACTGTAAAACACACTGAAAATAATAACAATTTGTCATGTAAATCTTTAATATTACTGGTAATGGTACCTTACAATAACTTTTATAACCCAATTAGATCAAACCATACAACAGATGTTATGTAGTTAAGGCAGCTTGAATCTATCTTTTTAAACAAACTTGTACATAATATAGTACAGATGATGCCCATAATCAATAGGTAGCAACAATGGTCTGTACTAAGTTATGTAAACCTATAAATATATAGGAAATTCTTCTACTTGTATAAATAGTTTTCACTACAATTACTAAATGATAGCAGTATTCAGTCAGTCAACAGTAAATAACTAAAGACACTACAATTACTAAATGATAGCAGTATTCAGTCAGTCAACAGTAAATAACTAAAGACACTACAATTACTAAATGATAGCAGTATTCAGTCAGTCAACAGTAAATAACTAGACATTCTAGACCATTTCTGTTACTATAAAGTTAAACACACAAAGAAACAAATCTTCCTTTTAGTTAGGAACTAATTAATAGTCCTTGTGTCAGGATCTTATGCTAAATATTTTTCCATTTACTAGTTACACATTTTTTGCAACTTTTGATATATTTTTGCATTTCAGTAAAAGTAAGAGTACCTAGTAATTAACATTAGTAAAAGTTATTATTTTGATATACACTTTTATTTCCTGAAACAATATAATCTTAAACATTTTGGATAGAGAGAATTTTATCTTTACAAACATACATATAGATATTGCATATAACAATGAACACTAAAACAAAGAACTTAAAAATTCCATGTAATTAATTTCCTTGCATATTGTCTATTATTATTATTATTACATAGGAACAAATTCAGTTTCTTTTTGTTATGACCAAGTTTTTTCATACCCTTTCAAAGTAAAAGGGAGACTTCTATAATGAATACATATTTAGTGATAGAAGGGCTGTTTTTTTTTATAAATTTAATCATACACATAATAAATTCAGAATGCATCACCACATGCTTCAGTTACAGTAACTGATAAGTGTATGCTGATTTTTATAATTTAATATTGTATTATTTGCTTTAGCAAACATCAGAGTAACATTTGTAAAATCAAAGAAAAATGTACCCAAGTTATAAAAAATTGGCATATTCTTGACCAATTGAAATAAAACTAAAAATGTCAAATTACTTAATGTGAGTTCTGTTGTGTCTGTGTTTATTAAAAAATAAAGGACAAATTTATATACCAAACTGAAGTGCTGTGAGTCTTTCTTGGAAACTAACTGGGTAGCAGACCATATATCTACACTGGGCTACTCATGCTCACAGATTAATTTTTTAAGTTACCATGTTATAATATATCAAAGAAAACTATAGAAGTTTATATTAATTTAATGCAAAAAAATTTGTTATTATATTGGCTTACTGAAGACTATCCATGCAAACATACCGTGAAGGATCACTATTGATGCCTACAACAGGTTTGTCTTGTCTATGAATCTTACTGGCAGCCATAAGAAATGTTCCATCTCCACCAGTTGTAAAAATAATATCAGCCCATTCAATATTAGCATCTGTATAACCAAACCTGTTCACTACTTTTGTTTCTATTCCATACTGTCTGCAGTAAAAAAAATTAAAATGTTACCAACATTTCTTCAGCATGAAGTTAAAATAAAAAGCTCACAAAATTTCTCTTTTCATCTCACATTTTTCTAATTATAGTTTACTTTTAAACAAATTGTATACACAATCCAGATGACGTTCCCAAATTAACTCTTCCAGTTTGATTAAAATATCAGTATTAAACAAAAACTATAAAGAAACTTTTAAACTAAGTTAATTGAATTAAACCATCAGACTTATACTTTAGTAATTGAAATAATTTTTGACATTACAGAGAAGGTTTCAAGAGGCTGTTAGTATTGCTTTATTCAAACTTACAAATGTTTCTCACGTGCTTGTAAGTAAAACTTCACTAAGTACTTCACTAACAGTTAAGAAAGTAATTTTGAAAAATGAAGAAAACTAAACTTATTGTAATATTACAAATTTGGACATGGAATAACTTTTTACACTTTATCACAATTTGGAAACAGTGATGAAAAGTATTTGTATTTATTTCAACAACTGAAAAAAAAAATTACAAAAATTTTACATAGATAACAGACACATTTGAAAAATGTCTATTTCAATGACATCAGCTTTGTTGAAGTGGTCTTCATATGATTTTACAATAGTGAATTATACTTACTAATTGGGAACAAACCTACATACTACCACTTTGTTTCACTAATGTGTTTTTTGTATATTAAAATGACATGTCTATATATATTAAACTGCACAACATAAATCATTCTGATTTATTACATAATGATAAAGTCAATAACTCATAGATACATTTTTAACTGAGAAGTATTTGGGTCAGAATGATGTTAAAACTAATAGCAACATTGACCTATTTTCTTTTACTAAGGTTACGATAATACAAAAAGTGTTCATGCCTTCTAACAGTAATAATAAAAATAAATTATATATATGTATATACATCAACATTTTTTACTAGCCAAATAAGCAAAACCTCTACAACAGAAACAAAATCTAATAGGAAAAATGCATATTTCAGTGTTTAATAAAGTACAGAACTTAAAAAACACAGTATTCTGAATTTTTAAAAACCCCGAGTTGACAGACTGAACTTACCTAAGGGTTTCCACAACCAAGTCTTTGTTTTTTGTGTGAATATGATGGTGATGAAGAAGACTCTGGTAGTCAGATCCTCTTTCTTCCAACTAAGCAAATGATAAAATAAAAAGGCCAACAAGACATATGTATTGCATAAACTAAGTGAAACCATTTAATATCAAAACTAGATTAGTAACACCAAAGAAGCAAAGAAATGTCTGTAAAATCCATAAACTCTCAAGTGACTGAAGTTTTCCTTCTCTCTCTCTTTTTTTGTATTATGTTTTCAAATTTTAACTGTATATTTTAACTGCTTGATTTCTTATTGCATTAGTTAAGCTTTTAATTCTTGAGAACATATTTCTGACCATGGGCACCTGCAGGAAGGGTCAAAAAGATAAAAAATTACTAGATATGTAAAATTATTCTTCTATGTTATTGGTTGGTTGGTTGGTTGGTT